TATTCCACTTAACAATACACTCTGACACTAATTACTTTAATAACTAACTCAACAATTAAACTCTTTACAATCACTATTTAAATCCTATCACAGTCGAACTGAAAACTAAACTTACAAACCAATGCCGGCCTTCTTATATATCCCTAAATCTATTCCTGTAAAATCTAGAATACACACGATAATCTTATTTTCCAGATTAAAGTTGAATAATTCGCTAGATTCTAGTATTTTCGCCATCGAGGATGAGATTCTTGACAGCCTGGCGAACGCCACGCCACATTGCGCCACAGACCCTCCATTGAATAACTCGGTTTGGCGAATATTACACTGCGAGTAACGTTCATTTGGTCGTCGAATAACCCTTACTCGTCGGTCGTTGCTGTAAAGACAAAACCTTGTCTCATCTGTAAACAGAACTCGCTCCCAATCTTCAGCATTCCAGTTTACATGTTCCCTGGCAAATTGAAGTCTTGCTCGTATATGGTCTGCATTTAACCTTGCTCCTCTTGCTGGAATTCTGAACCTTAAATTTCTTTCTGCCAGACGTCTCCTTACAGTTGATACACTAACGTTGATATTGTGAGCAGTATTTAATTGTACCCTTAGTTGTCTTGAGGTCACAAAACGTTGCCTCAACGCATTCAGTTGCAAAAATCGGTCATGGATAGCCGCTGTTCCCCGAGTTCTTCCTTGTCCACGGCGCCTGTTGTGGTCATTGGTTTCTTCAAAACGGCGAAATATGCGCAATATTGTCGAATGAGAAACACCCAATCTTCTACCTACAGCTCGGTAGCCCATTCCTTCCTGGATCAATGTAGTCGCCATCACACATTCATCTCGAGTTAAATTTCTTGTTTGACGCTCCATATTTTGCAATGATATCACCAAATGCAGAGAAATTACAGAATAAATTCAAAAATTCAAAAATCACTGACAGATAAAGACAGTAGTCTCTGTTTCCATGACAATATCGCGCCTTTGTTTTCCATGGCCTACTTAGATTTACTTACCTGACTCTTCTTCTTCTTCTTTCTTCTTTTTTCCACATTATTTTTTCAATAATTTTGTTTTTGTTTTGTTAACTTCCGAAACTTTTTCTTGAATAATCTCAAATAAACGCTTTTAACTTCAAACTCCATATTTCATTAAATAACAGAGCTAGAAACGTGAATAAAAAAACAAAATGCTCAGAAAAGATGGGGCTATGTTTTGATTTAGATAGACATCTATTGGTGCAGATGGAAAGTCCCACAGGATGTGACAAAAATTAGGCATCAAACTGGTTTCTTTTAAAACACCCTGTATATGCCTAAAACTTCGATTCAAATGAAAAGTTGTTTTACAGAGTCATTCCTGAAGATTTAAGCTACAATTAAAAAAAAAATATGTCCAAATCGATTCAGCAGTTTCCGAGAAAATTAAATTTGAAATTGTGCCAAATTTTAGTGGTGCGTTAATTTTGATGCGAAGTGTATAAATTATTTTCAGGACAATTTTATTTGTTTGCTCGCTGTGTGGGACAAAATGTCAATAAACAAAATATTAATCGTCACATGAAAAACATTCATGATAGCAAAAAATCAAAACTTCCTCATGGGGGTGGGAATCACAGTTGCCCGTTATGTTCATATAAAAGTTATTCAAGTGCACAGATTATTACTCATGTTGAAGAACAACATGACAGAGAAATAGAAAAGGCTTTTATGGACTTTAATACCACTGAAGATTTTTTGAAATGGAAAACATTATTTGAAAATAAGCACAAATGCCATTATGTCATGGTTCGCTCAAAAAAGTAAAAAAGGCATACAACGTTCAATTTGAAGAAATTTTTGATAGTGACGATGCAAAGAGTTTAGATATTCTGGTAAAAAACTTTCAAGTAAGTATATAGCTACAGCGTTTTTACTTTACTACTAACAACATTATGTTTTTCTATATTTTAGGAATCTTCAGAAAACCCTATTCTTTGTTACAAGCCATATGGAGTTGAAGACGAACAAGCTATTATCCTTAAAACAATTTTTTCTTGATATTTTTCAACAAAGCACAAGAAGAGTTGCTAAAAAAAATATGGCAATACCATCTTAATGATAGATGCCACTCATGGAACCAATTGTTATAATATTCAACTAAGTACATTAATGGTTTTGGATAATGATTATGAAGGATTTCCTGTGGCATTTATGTGGTCTATAACTCAAACTGAACAAGTATATGAATACTTTTTCACTGTGTTAAAACAAAGAGTTTCTGATATAAAACCAAATGTGTTCATGACAGCTGATTGTAATGTGTTTTACAATTCCTTTATAAAAGTATATGATTGTTTCCCACAAAAACTGCTATGCGACTGGCATGTAAAAAGAAGTCTCTTTGATAACTTGGCCAAAATTCCTCAGAATGAAAAAAAGAAAGAGGTGAAACAAAGACTGTATGCTCTTATCAATGAATTAGATGAAGTTACATTTACTAAGTTATTGTCATCATTTCTTGATTATTTATTGTTAGATAGTGATACCCAAAATACTTTAAATATTTTACAACATATTATGTTAAGAGAAAGGAGGAATGGGCCCATTGCTTTAGAAAAGACCTACATCGCAATACAAATATGAGTCTTGAAAAGTGGCACCAGGAAATAAAAGATAATTCAAGAATTAAAGGAAAATGTCAGAGTCGCCTCTTAAGTGTTAGTAACGTCATTGAATGTTTGAGAATGAAATTTATGAAGAGGTTGGTCTCTTTGTCAAGAAACAAAATACCATACAAGTTGAACACTTTGAGGAAAAGACACAAAGTAGCTGTTGAAGTATTGAATACTGGTCCTGTACAAGTTTTTGAAGAAATCCCAGATAGCCAGTGGCAAATTGAGTCCTCCAAAAATAATAAAGATAATCAAGCATTGCTGGAATATTACTCTATTAAACTATTAGAGAAAGGTAAAAATTGTAAGTGCAATTTTTTTTTGCAATGAGTGTAACATGTGCCTACATGGTATGTCATGCACATGTCATGACTATCAAATACAATTTAATACGTGCAAGCATATCCATATTATTTGCAATATGTTTTTAAAAGCAAAACCAGGTTTTTGTAATGAGAGTAATGCCGAAAATGATGATGATAATAATAATGAGTTTGATGTTATTTCATTTCAACTTTCTGCTGGTAATAAACAAAAAGATGCTGTTATCTCTAACAAAAACCTTGCCATGGGAGAAATTAATAAACTCACAGAAAAGTTAAATGAAGCACAAGATTTGGATCAAATTTTATATATTACAAAAAATTTATCAACATAAAATGCAGGGGTCGACGCCTTACAGAAGTCAAAATCTGTTTTAATTCCAAAAGATAAATATCCAGCCAATAGGAAAGTACCACAGCAATGTAGCAGGAACCTTCCCTCATTACAGAAGAAGAAGAAGAAGAAAAAAGAAAAAGCATCAAGAACCTCATCTCAAATTGATGAAGATATAACTATTTTGAACATCGTCATGGAAAAATAATTAAAGTATGTTTTTACTTCGGTTATTACTTTGGTTTTTACTGTAGTGACCTTTTTTTGTTCAGCAGAAAAGAGAAGAGAGTTTTGTGTATATGCCATGCCAAATTTAGTTTATTATTGTAAATTAAAGTACCTTACGATGTGTATACTTCTTCAATAAAGTATTATAAATAATTAAACTTCAGGTTTTTTACGATATTAATTACCTACCCTATATTTAATGTTCGTACCCATATGAAGACGTTAAAAATAATAAATTTATCAATGAGGTTTTCTTGTTTTGTTTTGAAAATAGTAGACCACAACGTTTGATATATTCTAAACTTTAGAATATATCATATGGACTTTATAGATTGTTAGATATTGTACAGGTCAATTTTCTATTATAAAGGTAGACAGATTATTGATACTGAATCATCCAATCCACGTTTCCCACAAAACAACTAACATTTGAATATGAATTCGCGGGCGGAATTACGATCAAGGTTTTTGCGCATGCGTCGGTACAGGATTAGGTGTGAGATATATCCGCTAGTCTGCCGTTGGCCATCTCCATCCGCCATCGCGTCATTCGACATTTAGTGCTTGTATCGTGCAGAGCGTTCTGGTTTTTTCCAGGTTTGGCTGTCACACGTAAGTAAATTTGATTGTAATATTTACTTTCCAGCCATGAAAAAACATAAGAAAAGAGACCGGTCATCAAGTAGTGATGACGAGCTATCGAAAAAAGAATTACTAAGAAGAATTCATAAGTTGGAACGATCCCAAGAAAGACGAAGGTCACGTTCCCGTACATACTCTAGTAAGCGCCATCGGCGTTCGGAGTCGAGCGTGCGTTCTCGCTCTCGCCGACTGGAATCAGGTGACCGACGCAGGCAAGCCTAGTTCTCATGATGCGGAATTCCGGATTGCGGGTGCGGAATTTTTGAAATAATTCCGTTGGCGGGAAAACGTCAACTTTTTTGCGGATCCGCAATAAAGTTGAACCATTTTCAACTTTTTTGCGATTTTTTTTTCTGTCTTTGTCTAAATATTTCTCTTCTTTGTTTGATTTCTACATAAACAAATAAACTAACCTCAAACAAAAAACAATAAAACAATTAATACCTAACAAAAATAAATTGATCTGCTTGTTTGTGTGTTTGTTTTATTTTCAAATACATTATTATTACGGCAAACCCCTTGTTCATGCCTTTTCAGAAGAATATTTCTGAACAACATCTTCCTTTTTTTAATATTTCTCTGCTATTCTGCTTTGATAAAGTTTCATGCATATTATGGATTAATAGCAAACCCAATACTAACGTATATTGGGTGGTAGTCTGAATAAAAACGAAGTACTTGCTACTACTACAGGTAGTAGTATATTCTACGAAGTATTTACTTCACAACAAAGGATTTTCTAATTTCCGGTAGTTTCGAAATGTGACATTTTAAAGTAAACAATACGAAGAATATACTACTACTTGTCGTAGTAGCAGATACTTTGTTTTTTTTTCATACCTCCCTCTGTCTTTTCCATTGATAATAATTTAATTGTGCAATATAATTATCCATCCAGGCACACAGGAAAACAAAAACAAAAAATATGTTAGGTTAAGATCACATGTATTTGACATAAAACCGCATCCGGAATTCCGTTTCATGTGAACCATCAAAAATTACGATTTTCAAAAAACTGCGATTTCCGGACTCGCAATGCGGAATCCCGCACCATGAGAACTAGGCTTTAACTCGCTCTCCCACACAGACGCGAAAGGTCGATTCTTCCTCGTCGCGCCATCGACAGCGCTCATGGGTGGAGCGGGGAGAGCTTTCCAGCTGTTCCTGCGATAGAAGTCGATTCTCTAGTCGATCCGTCGAGACTGTCGAGAGCACAGGGACGCATTCAGCCCGTCGGCGCCGAAGTTTTTCTGCAGAGCGATACTCGTACGTATCGACGAATGCAGACGCAACCAACAATGAGGGATTCAACTTGCATGTTGAAAACCACGTACGACCAAACAGTCCAGACAATATTACAGCAGAAGGAGGCCATTCTCCGTCACTAATAATAAATAATGACGTTGAGCTAGGCGACGATTTTTTGGCCATTTTAGGAAGCGATCCAAAGGAATGTGGAAAGTCAACTTTCCAGCTTCATAAGGCCATATCCTCGCGATGGGATCATATATTGTCTAATGGCTTATCGGACGAGGACAAACGGGTTTTAAATGACCGTCACAAAATACCAGAGAATTTACCCTTGTTAGTGCCACCTGAGGTTAACGCTGAAATCTTGGCAATTATGTCAGCGCTTCATAAAAAGAGAGATTCTGGTTACTCGGCAATTCAAAATCAGATTTCTCATGGTCTTTCAGCTCTTGGACAGGGCCTTAAAATAATTCTTGAAGAGGGCAATAATTTTCCTAAGGAATTAAAGGAAAATTTGATGACTCCTCTTTGGGATTCAGGTAAAATTTTAACCAATTTATTTTTTAGCCTATCGCAAACTAGACGTACCTTGATTTCTCAAACTGTAAACAGACAGGTGAAAGATATTATAGAAAAATCTGTTCCTGACACCTCCTTGTTTGGTTTGGATTTCGGGGAAAAAATTAAATCTGCCCGAATGCTGGAAAAGACAAGTAAGGACTTGCTGGCAACACCTGCCTTCACTAGAGTACCGAGTACCTCAACCAGCACTAATAAAAATTATACTAGTGGCGAAAGAAGAGGAGGGAGGAGATCAATTCCGGAAAACCGATATCGCCCAGGTCGTCCAGGGAGGGGGACGAAACCTTACAAGGGCCAACAATCCTCGAGACACGAGAAGTTCTATTCCAGGAAAAACAAGTAATTCCGGTAAGTAAAATACCAGCTGGAAGGTTACAGTACTTTGTTGACAGTTGGAAACAAATTACTTCAAATAATATTATTTTATCATGGGTAAAAGGTTTTGAAATACCCTTTCAATTCATACCTCCAGCTTCAGAAAGTTTTTCCTATGCAAAAATACTGTCTCATAGGGATACTAAGGAAATGTTAGAGTGCATCAAGGATCTTTTAAGTACGGGCGCTGTATCGAGATGTAAGAACGAATCTGTACAATTCGTCTCAAGCATATTTCTTGTAGATAAACCTAACGGTAGTAAAAGATTTATACTTAACCTTAAAAGATTAAACAGATATGTCGAGGTACCTCATTTTAAAATGGAGGACTATCGAACAGTTTCTCGTCTTATTCGTCCTACTAATGTATATATGTCAACAATTGATTTAAAGGACGCATATTTTATGATTTCAGTAGCAAAATCTCATAGAAAATATTTAAGATTTTATTTCCAGGAAAATCTGTACGAATTTAACGTTTTACCGTTTGGATTGTCATGCGCTCCATATATTTTTACTAAACTCCTTAAACCGGTTATAACCAAGTTAAGGACTGAAGGTATTTGCTGCGTTAGTTACCTGGATGATTTGATAATATTGGCTGATTCTGAACAACAGTGTCTTCTTAATACAGTCACTGTACTAAATTGTTTGCAGAATTTAGGTTTCATTATAAACAGGGAAAAAAGTTCATTAAGTCCTTCTAAACGACAGAAATTTTTAGGTTTTATTTTCAACTCAGAAAATATGACCTTAGGTCTAACGACAGAGAAGCGCGTAAAAATAAAAGAATCAATAGGTCATTTTAAAAATTCTCATTCATGCAAAATTAGAAACTGGGCTCAATTCATAGGTTGATTTCGGCTTGCCCAGCGGTCAAGTATGGTTGGTTATATACCAAGTCATTTGAAAGAGAGAAAATTAAATACCTTCGTGAAAATAATATGAGTTATGAGGCTATAATGATCCTATCATCTGATATCAAATCTGATTTGTTATGGTGGGACACTCACATTCTCATTTCTTCCAATGACATAAGACAGGACACTTTTAAGATAGAAATATTTACTGATGCTTGCTTAACCGGCTGGGGTGCATGCACCAAGGAACTCTCTACATATGGTTGGTGGTCTGAAACAGACCAAAACAACCATATTAACTATTTAGAATTGAAAGCTATATTTTTCGGGTTAAGATGTTTTGCAAAGGAGCTTACCAACTGTAATGTATTAATACGCACTGATAATAACTACTGCCCTATCATACATAAATAGAATGGGCAGTGTCCAACATAGAAATTTAGACAATTTAGCCCGAGAAATATGGCAGTGGTGCGAGTTAAAAAATACATTTTTATTTGCATCATATATTACCTCTCAAGATAACTGGAAAGCTGACAAAGCATCAAGAATGTTACCAACAGAAACTGAATGGGCTTTGGCTAACTATGCTTTTCAACGCATAGTGAAGGAGTGGGGTACCTTTGAAATAGACCTTTTTGCGTCAAACATTAACGCCAAGTGTGAGAAATATGTATCCTACTTACCAGACCCAAATGCAGTTGCGGTTGATGCTTTTACCATTAATTGGAGTACCTTTTATTTTTATATATTTCCTCCTTTTAGTGTAATTTTGAGAGTTATTCAAAAAATTATCGATGAAAAAGCGCAAGGCATCGTAGTAGTTCCTTGGTGGCCGTCCCAGTCATGGTTTCCTCTTTTCATGAAGATTAAGATAGGCGATTACCTGTTATTTAAGCCTGATCCTAATTTGCTTACTTCACCTTTTAGCTCACAACACAAGATGGCGAAGAACCTTACCCTGGTTGCAGCAAAATTATCTGGAATGCATTACTGCTGAAAAATTACCCAGAAAATACATTATACGAACCGTACTTCAATCATTATCAGCTGGAACGCTTAAACAGTACAATTCCACCTATAAACTTTGGTGGGGTTTTTGCCAAAAACATAATCTTTCTGTTTACAAATCCGGGGTAAGTGAAGTTCTACACAGTTTCTTCAAAATCTGTTGGACAGCCAGACTATACAATACGGCACCTTTAATGCACACAGATCTGCGCTATCCTTAATTTTGTCAACAGATATAGCTAATGATTTTCGGGTTAAGAGATTCTTGAAGGGGGTAAGTAACATTAGGCCTACTGCTCCCAGATACAATCATATATGGGATACTCGGCCAGTCATAGCCCACCTCAAGAACATGTTTCCAAATAATGGATTAACTTTAAGAGATTTGTCCATCAAGCTTGCTTCGTTTTTAGTCTTAGTTACTGGTCAGCGAGTACAGACCATATCCTTCATAAAAATTGAAAATATAACCAATGCAGTAGGAGGCTATCAAATTTTTATCTCAGATAAAATTAAGACTTCAGGCCCTGGCAAGCTTCAACCTTGTTTACATGTACCTTTTTTTACAGAAGATCCATCTCTATGTGTTGGATCAGTTTTAAAATTTTACCTAGAAGCTACGGCAAAAATAAGGAAACCAGACCAACAAAATTTGTTTTTAGTTACTCGACCACCTTACAAGTGTGCATCGAAACAAACAATTAGCAAATGGGTCAAAGAATTATTGGCGCGTGCCGGCGTTAATACAGAAGAGTTTCGCGCCCATTCTACTAGACATGCGTCTACGTCAGCCGCGAGAAGAAAAGGAATTTCTTTGGATCTCATTCGCCAGACTGCAGGCTGGTCAGAAGATTCCTCTACGTTTGCAAGATTTTATAATCGTCCTGTTATAGATTCATTTGCTTTTGCAAAATCTGTACTTAGCTTGTAGTTTTCATGTTTCATGTGGTATTTGGTTTAGAATATGTTTGAGTTACTTTTGATATATATGTCTTACTTATAATACAATATATTTTCCTTATCTTTGCAACTTGTCTTTGAACATCTACGTGGTAAAATAGTATTGATATCGAAGGACTGGAGGTCGAACTAAAATTATTAGATCAAACGAACTTACCAGTGAAGTTCGATCCTAATTTTAGGAGACCTCCAGTCCGAAGATATCAATTCCCTCCCATCCCAATATTTTTCAGTTTCCCCAGAGGTGTTGCAAAGATTATAATTTAAACAAAATGACGCGATGGCGGATGGAGATGGCCAACGGCAGCGAAGAGCAGGAGTGGACAGGACCGGCTTCTTTAAACTTAGTGGGTAATACAGGCGACAAATGTCTACTACGTGGTAAATTAGTATTGATATCTTCGGACTGGAGGTCTCCTAAAATTAGGATCGAACTTCACTGGTAAGTTCGTTTGATCTAATAATAGACAATACATTAACATTACCAGCAGTGGTGTGTTCGATAACAATTCTACAGGAAATGTGACCAAACAAGCAGAACCAAAATAAGCCCCGCCCACCCACACAGCCTATATAACCTGCGCCCGCGATGAGCAGACCTTCAGTCACAGTTTATACCGTTCCGATACAGTTGTTCAACTCCGTTGACAAACCATTGATTTTTTTGAAGCCAAATTCTATGTCCCTATATTTCGCGCTTGCGCATTATTGATCGGAAACAGCGAATCCTGGGCCGTGGACAGAGTCGGACTAGGATTTTTTGTGGATTAACATTGAGAATAATTTAGAATTCAGAGTAGTTCGATTATGTGAATCGGTAAGATTATGTGAATGTATAGAGTAAACCTAATATGAAATATGTAAAAATAAATACTTACAGTTGTTCATCGTTCGGGAAACTAAAATATCCTAAGCCTGGGCTAGTTCTAGTGTTGTTTTTACAGACAAAACAGGAAGCAACCATAATAATACACAATATATAAAGGATAAAACAGTCAAGTACACAAAAATCGCGAATAACACGAAAAGCAAAACACTCTTAACAAAACCGAATTTCAAATTGATGAATTTTCCGGTTACTTTTCAATTTCCTGAATAATTGACGTTTTCAATTAAAAGAGATGGACAATAAAGTATGAAAACAATCATTTTCCCGCCAACATTTGCTTGCTTGTCAATACCAGTGTGCATTGGGGTGTTTTGAAAGAAAATGTAGGAAAAGTCACTACTTCATTTGCAGAACTTCGCTATGGAGCGGTGGATTAATTTGGAAGCAAACAGCTCCCGCAAACTAAACTTGAATGTGGATTACTTTGTATACTTGATAGGCCGTGGATTTCCCTTTTTTTTGCGAGTATTCTTTCTGATTTTATGTATCCAAAATTTGACAAATGTAGGATTTGATTGAAACTCATGGAAAGACACGTCCGCCGTTAAATAGGAATTATTTTCACAAAAAGGCACACTACACAATCACTATTGTTAGGAAAAAACTTTGAAAAAACCGAAGAAATAATAGTTTCCAGTTTCCACATGTACAAAAGTCTTGTCAACAAACCACTGTCAGCGGCTGTCAACCGTTGTTTTCATACTCTTTTGGCGTCTGACAGTTTGACGCTAGAGAGAGAGGGTTTTAAATTGAAAAGGTCAATTTCAGTCAAAAAACTTCTCTTCTTTTTTTGTAATACAATCCTGTTGCGTGTCTCGTTTGACAGTTATTTCTCGCGGGTTCTCACCCAAGCTATCTCTATCTCTTTTTTGCGTGCAGGATTGGAAAGAAACATGTATATGCCGAACTCAATTTGAGAGATTTGTTCACTCATTGAGCGCATGCGCAAGATATTGGTCAAAATGCTCCTATTGGTTGGAGAATTTGGCCTCAAAAAATATGGAGAGTTGTACAACTGTATCGGTACAGTATAAACTGTGCTTCAGTCTCCATTTTGACATCTGACATCTATCTAAAAGTAAAGTTGATGCCTAGTCTCCAAAATTAAAATTTTGTTTTCCAGCTTGATAGTCCAGGAGGTGGCGCCAAAAACATGCAAGAGTTTTCGCAAGGCCGATATTTTCAAAATAGGTCGTACTTTAGTGCTAGAATGCTAGTGTACAGTCAGCACTCACAGTTCCGGGACAGCTGGCTCTGGGACGCGGGCAAAGTTGTAATTTTAAGAAGCATCTAAACTGTTTTCTCAAAGCTCAAAATTTATAGAAATTTTGCACATTATCTGTTTGAAGGTCACAGATAACGTATGTAAATCGTCAGACGTCTAGTTCGTTGCAAAAAGGGGGTCAGCCGTCCTCAAAGTTCTTATTTTATGGCATTTTCTTCGGTGTCCTGTCAAAATATATTTTTGCAGGTATTTGACAAATATATTTGAAGAAAATGCCATAAAATAAGAACTTTGAGGACGTCTGATCCCCTTTTTGCAACGAACTAGACGTCTGACGATTTACATACGTTATCTGTGACCTTCAAACAGATAATGTGCAAAATTTCTATAAATTTTGAGCTTTGAGAAAACAGTTTACATGCTTCTTAAAATTACAACTTTGCCCGCGTCCCAGAGCCAGCTGTCCCGGAACTGTGAGCGCTGACTGTACACTAGCATTCTAGCACTAAAGTACGACCTATTTTGAAAATATCCGCCTTGCGAAAACTCTTGCATGTTTTTGACGCCAGCTCCCCAACTATGATGATTTCATAATAAAATAAACACTTTCTACAATTATTATTTTTATTCGACTATCCAATAATAATCATTGTTATAAACCACTACTCACTTAATAATATAATAATAATAATGGGAAAAGTGTTGCACAATATAAAGTACTCAATAGATACACTTCAAAAAAAAAAAAAACTATTTTAGAATACACAAACCCAGTAATAATCATAAATATAATGTCCAACTAATGTTTATCACAGAAACACTTGAAATAATAAAAATCAAAAATATAGAGTGCACAAGTTGAAAACACATTAATTACAATAATAAAAAGACACACCCTGTATATAACATTAAGTTTATTTAAACTCTATTACGATAATTATTAAGAATATAATTTAGTTGAAGTTTGATTTATTTGATACCAATTAAAACTCCAGGTGAGTCGTTTTAAGAAGTCCATTCACTAATTAATAATTAAAAAATAAACCATAAAACTTTCCAAGGTTGCAAGCAGAAATCCCTCATAGTCAAATAAGTTAACAAACGAATTTTATTAAAACTCATAAATATAAACAAAAAATAAGGTAGTTTAAGTAGCGGGAGTTTGCGTTCTGGCCCTCCGATGATCGTAATTGACCAGCCGTTGTCCCACCAAATACTTGTCATTCTTAATGTGCTCGTACAACCTTTTGAATTGCCTGATTTGCAACACTATAATTATATTGACTGTCGCTACGAGCAACAAAAACGGATACAATCGCCGCGCGACTAAATTTCGCACTTGCAAATTCGTCACGAATATCGGTACAAAGGAATAAGCCAAAACGTATGGTACGGCCAAAGCGAATCCGAAACAAATTATAACTGGAAACGCCAATTCCTTGAAGATGAACGTCAAATTCATATCTCTGATGCCGTCTCTGTAAGCTCTTTCGATCGCAGCTCGCAGGAACCAATCGGGACCCATCATAGTAACTGCGCAAGCTATTTTCGTATACAACACTCCAAGAGCCCAATCTTGCCATATAAACAATATAGGCGTTTGATGTATCGGAACCCTCAAAGGAATTATTACAACTAGTTCGAGTAGCAACCCAAATAATAGCGGGACCACGCCCAAAAGCAACGCGCTAGCGGCAATAGTTTTCAAACCCAAAAGTCCCCACTGTTTCAAACGGTCCATCATAGCAGCACGTCCTTGGGGCAACCAGCCCAATACTAAAGTGACAGCTCGGGCTGCCAACCAGCACAAATACAAACCGCAAGCGGCCGTGTACAGTTCGTGCACTTTGACTTCGGTCTTGGCTTCGGAGGCGGAGATTTGTGGACCTGGGGGCGGGGCACCAACTAACCATAAAGCCATCACTCGGCGGCCCAGCCATACCGGTACGGTCAGAGCCACAACTGAGAAGAGTACCAGGGACCAGCAGACGGTTACTAGGAGCGAGATGAGGCGTGCATGGAAGAACTTGGGGCGTTGGTAAGGTTGGTAACCTGGAAATGAATAAAAAAATGTTGTTATTTATGTTTTGTTATCTTGTTATATTATTTAGATAACAACTTTTAAAATTTTATAAATGAACCACATTTTACTAATTGTCATTTAAAGGGATTGATATTTTTAAAAGGACTCCTGATCAAATCATTTCTTATTTATTTTGTTAGAGATACTAGACTTTCCTCGAATAAGTGATTCCTTGAAAAAGCCAAATAGAAATAATAACAGGGCTTCAAGATTGAGCTTAGACTCACCATCAGAAGTTGAGAGGTTAATTTAGCTTAGTTATAAACTTAAAGGTGAAAACGCGTACATAAATTTTGACTTAACTTCTAAGGAAAAAGTTAGGAGAATAAACTTTTACTAAGTTCCGAACTCGTAAAAGCATTGGAGAGAATGTACCGGGTGTTTTTTTATCTTTGATATCATTTTGATCACCTGTAACTTTTTTGTTTTTGAAGTTATCAAGGTAAACAAAAAAACAAAATGAAGGGTTAGTAGCCAAGTTTTTTTCCAAGTTACACATGAAACAAAACACTATGAATTTTTTGACATATACGCCTACATTATATTTTTTTAAATAGAACACCCTATACATTATATGTAGTCGGGAATCTGAGGTGTTGAATTCGACCACCTCTATACAAGTCGCGAACATCCACCTAAAAAACATGAAGTCCTATGTAAAATGACCTGCCGGATTCGAATATCTTGTTCGCCCTTTGATCCGGAATTGCGAAATGTGTCAAAAGATGGCATTTTTGAAACAACTGAAAATTTCCATTGAAATATTTTTTTTTGAAAACTAGTGCATAACTTTGTTAATTGATGTCCGATTGTTATGAATTTTGGATATGATATTTTTCAGTACTTCCCTGACATAGTTTCATCACAATAAAGAACATAGAACGTCACATAAAAGCTACGTAATTTTTTTTTCGCCAGATGACACAAAATATCGTCATTTTGCAGCGTTAAATTGTGAGTCGCGAAAACTTTTTTATCTTTAGAGATAGATACCAAGTATAAGCGAGAAAAATGTTGCCAATGGAGTAAAGAAACTTTTTTACTAAAACTTTTTTTCCATACGACGTTTAGTTTGGGCTGTATTCTTTTTTAAAAACCGAAGAAAATTGAATCGCCGCGTCTCAACTCTCGGCATTGCCGGTGAGCGCGATCTTAGGACGCGGTGCAGCGAATCAGTGTGTCAGAGAGAGTTAACACCACAGCTTTCTTCATACGTGCAACAAAGACACGCATTACGATATTGTTATAATATTGTGGGGAGTATAGGAGAATGAGGGATTTATGGGTTTGGTTGGGTTGGGAAACAATATGAATAGGAAAAATATTAATAATAATTTTTTTTACAAGTATAAAAAACAATACATATTATCAAAATATTTATTTCACAATGCATTTTCTCTCAGACAAACACTGGCAAAAAAGGAAAAAAAAAACAAAAACGTCACATAAAAGGTATAAAAATTCCATTTATTTATTTATTAATTATTACCAAATATGGAATCCATTGTTAGCGAATCCAATTAATGTCAGTAAAAAAATAATAACAAGATTTCTTTTTTAAAACAAAGCATCAGGCTGAATTCAAAATTTTGTAGTAAACGACTAATTCCACATGTTTTGGTGTTTTCATTCCAATTAATACAAATAAAAAGTCTTGACAACAAATATCCAAAACCTTTACTTCAAGCTTCTCTTAGTTCTCTTCCAACAGAACTTTTCAATCTTTGTCAAAATTTACTTCTTTTTCACTAGTTTCTCAGTAAGTATTCACGAAAAAGGTACAATGACTTTGGTATGATATTAGGATGCACATTCTTCAGTAATTGTCAAAGTGTCTTGCTGCACACAATTTGCAATAATCCGCCTTTAAATATTAAACATTTGATTGTAGTTTATAAGGAGAATGTCCTTCATTGAAAAATGTGGCGTCAGCGTTAGAATTTGAAGAACTTGAATTCCTTGCAGCGTCTTATTTATTGATAATTACTTTAGTAGAGCAAAGATAACTTGAAAGTTTTCCATCTCGGAGAACAACCATAATTGTTCTCTTAAAAAGACTTTGCAGGTTATTGATAATCTCTTCTGACGATGGATATTGTGCAGTTCACTCAACGTTCCATAACTTTGCTTCCTTGCTTCCCTATGTAGGATGATTTCTATTGTGGGGACCCTATTTCCTACAAATAGGGCATTTTCTATATAAGATTGAATTTTAATAAAAACAGTTCCAAACGAAAGTACTTCAGATTCTTGTAGGGAATTTACTTCTGATTTTGATTTTTGGAATAGTTTCAAGAAATACAGACTATGATACGATTGATATGCACATTCGTGAGCAATCATGTCGATACAATTATTACCAAATCCTTGAATTCAATGCAAAAGTTGATGGTTGTTTTTGCCATGTTCCATATTTCATTTTGCTTATCAAATGTCAGTATTTGCTTGAGTCTTCTCAAACCCCTACTATCGCGAATTTTATTGCATATTATGCAAATCTTTGAATAAGAGGATTTAATTCGTTTACTAGTACATTTTGAAGCACCTTCTTCTGGTTCAGGTCTTTTCTTGTAGGCTTTCCTGGTATAAGCTCGTCTACATTTAGAATTTAGGGTGATAAACAGGATTTAATGATAAAAACAGTTCTCTTTTGTCAGCATAGTATCTAACGGCCAATTTCATAATAGAAAATTAAAAGTTACTTTAGCTAAATAGACTTTTAGGATAGGATTTTTCAACTTCAAATGGAAAGTTTACTTTAAGTTGATTATGAAATTGGCCGTAGGAGCTATGGAATAACGATCGCCTTTCTCAATGACTATACATGCTTGAAACATGAAATGTAGGTACGGCTTCTTTTGTGACACTCTGAACCGTTTCCTAATTACTTGATTGACGCAAAATACACTCGTTGAAATTGATATTTTGACTAATAATAGGTAGGTACTTCATGTCTTTTACAATAACAAACATAAGCGGGTGAAAAACAAAATGAAATTCAAAGAAACGCTTCTGCCATCGGCGTCGTCGCGTTATCTTTCTTGCACATATGAAGAAGGCTGTGTTGTTAACTCTCTTTGACACACTGATCGCTTTATTCGCTACACCGCGTCCTGAGACCGCGCTCACCGGCAATGCGGAGAGTTGAGACGCGGCGATTCAATTTTTTTCGGTTTTTAAAAAAGAATACACCTTAAACTAAACGTCGTATGGAAAAAAAGTTTTAGTAAAAAAGTTTCTTTACTCTATTGGCAACATTTTTCTCGCTTATACTAGGTATCTATCTCTAAAGATAAAAAAGTTTTCTCGACTCACCATTTAACGCTGCAAAATGACGATATTTTGTGTCATCTGGCGAAAAAAAAATTACGTAGCTTTTATGTGACGTTCTATGTTTTTTATTGTTATGAAACTATGTCAGGGAAGTATTGAAAAATATCATATCCAAAATTCATAACAATCGGACATCAATTAACAAAGTTATGCACTAGTTTTCAAAAAAAAAATTATTTCAATGGAAATTTTCAGTTTTTTCAAAAATGTCATGTTTTGACACATTTCGCAATTCCGGATCAAAGGGCGAACAAGAAATTCGAATCTGGCAGGTCATTTTACATAGGATTTCATGTTTTTTAGGTGGATGTTCGCGACTTGTATAGAGCATCTTTAAAAGGCTTCCTAGGAGGCGTCAGATTCCCAACTAATGTATGTTCGATAGAATATCTTATTTTGATTACAATGATGTAACACACTTCATATTTTAGTCCACTCGTTTTTGACAAATCAACGAAATAGTATATTAAAGTATAAGTGGATATTAAGGTCTTTAAAACGCGCGATTTTTCGAGCACGACGGCGCAGCCGGAGTGCTCGAAATAGAGCAAATTAATGACAAATGTTTCAGGGACCAGGGGCCTTATTCTGTAAGGAACGAACCGTTCGATTCGGTAGAATTTCTTCGATTGTGACGTCATTTTTGGTTGGGTTTTCGCGCTACCAAACCGAAAATGACGTCAAAATCGAAGAAATTTTACCGAATCGAACAGTTCGTTCCTTACAGAATAAGGCCCCCAGGGTCGTATTTTCGAATTCATTCGAGTACACTTCGTAGACGAAATTTGACTGACAGCAATGTAAATTAAATAGGGAGCATTCGAAATCGTATCAAATTTCGTATGCGAGAATATTCGAAAATACGACCCCAGTTATCCACGAATACTTTACACTATTTTTTTTTATTGGTACCTATACGTTTAAATCAAAAATTACTAATAATTGTGGAATGCTAAATTCGTTGACACTTGCTATATTTTACTTGACGTTGTCTACAAGTACCTACTCCTGACAAATCAATAATTAAAAAATTGACATTTAGACCTTTCTCGGGCTGCTGGTTGTTGATGTTGTCATTAGTAACTTTAAAACACGCGCGTTTTTGAATGTTGGATTTAAACACGCTCAGGAGTACTTTAAATAAGTGAAATGGCTTATCAATAAAAAAAAAGTATATAAAATTTTTATATACACTCTCAATAGTTTCAATAATTCTCGTACCAAATATCAGATCCCCGCCTAATAAGTTTCACTTCAAAAATATCATATTTTTACCGATTTGTCAAAAACGAGTTGACCAAAATATGAAGTGTGTTATATCATTGTAATCAGAATAAAATATTGCAACGGCCGCCAGTGTGTAAAAAATCGCAGATTCGAGATTTTACGTGATGTTCGGGAACAACGTCGATCGCGGTTTTTCTGGAATTTACAGGAATAAATTACGGATATACAATGTATAAGGATGGGTTTTAGCTTATAAGTTAAAGTTTTACTGTGATACGATTTAAATAGTGATTATTTTTGTAAAGAGTTTAATTGTTATTAAAGTAATTAGTGTCAGAGTGTATTGTTACGTGGAATAAATTATTGCTGTGTTAATTGGACTTTGATTTTTGGAATAAATGAAACGAAC